TAAAAATGAAGAATGAACTGACCCGTTAGGCAAGTAAATGTTGAAAATGGCTACCATGACTCTCCATGCAATAATAAAGATTTTGCTCAAAACGTTGCCGCACATTTTGCAATATTTGAGGAGTAATTTGAAGGCATTCATTCACAATTCTTTGTCGCAGGTCTTCTAATGATGTTGGCTGAGTAGCATAGATTGTGCTTTTTAAACGACCCCACATAAAGTAATCCAAAGGTGATAAATCTGGCGATCTTGGGCGACCTGGAAACGTCTGATCCAAATATTGTCGAACACGTAATGCGTAATGTGGTGGGGCACCATCCTGTTGGAACATCAACCTATTCGCAGTGTACCGCCGATCATTCTGATTTTCAATTATGGCTGTTAATGCAGGATCTATGGCGTCTTCCAGTAATTCCAAATACATTTCACCCGTCAAATTTCCAGGTAAGAAAAAATTACCAACTAAATGATCGCCAAAAATACCAGGCCAAACATTTAATTTTTGTGGCTGCCGTGTATGAACCTCATGATAAATTCTGGGATTAGAATCGGACCAATATCAGCAGTTATGACGATTTACTACGTCATTTAAGAAAAAGGAACATTCGTCGGAAAAGCAAGTGTTCATCGTTTATAATTCGTTCACTCATATCTTCACAAAATTCTAATCGCCGATCAAAATCGTCTTCATTAAGTTCTTGTACCAGGTGAATTTTATACGGATGAAAACTATGGGCCTTTAGAATCCGTTGGACAGTATGTCGACTAACACTACACACTGTCTCCAATTTGCGGGTACTTAACGTAGGATCTACATAAACTTGCCCTAAAACCCCCACTTCTATTGCTTCGTTCCTTATGGGATTTTCAATGTTGCGTTTTTTATTGGCGACTGACCCAGTTTTCCGAAATTTGGCTACAGGTTCTAGAACATATTTTCGATGCACGTTACTGTTCTCATGTTGCTGATTAAATATTTCTGCTGTTCTAGCAAACTGACTATTTCCGAAAAATATTTCGATAACGTCAACTCTTTCTGCTGTGGAATATACCATGGTTAATTTATGTAATAAAGCGTTACAAGTTATTTTAGCAACAAAGTTTGGTCAAATCAATCGGAAACTATGTACTAAAGTCCTATGTAAAATAAGTACGAGATATTTCATTATCTTTCTTCAAGAAATAACTTTTTTGCCACAAAAAACGCTCCAATAGCTATTTTCAACAACAAAATGATAAACAAACCATGGGCGTAGTGAAGAAAAGCATTTACTTGTTAAGTAAATTTTTTTAGTCATATTTCTTCTGAGAGTAGTACAAGCTAATCTGATGTACCTATTAAAGACTATTTTAAGCTTTAAATCAATAAATCTTCAAAACTACTGAACTGAAGCTCATGTATTTTACATCATTATAAAGGGAATTGAAAGACCTTTAGAATAAGGTATCACTCGGCCCCCCTTTCTATTTAAGATTTTATTGTTGGTGTCACCCCCGCCCAGGGGGCTGCACGTGTTAACGTGATTTTTGCCAATCTTGTGTCCCCCTCGAAAACAATATCGACGGGTCTGAGCGTTTTTCCAAAAAAAAAAAGCTGAGCTGCCAGTAAATGCGTCTGTTCCGTTTTCGATGCGCCACCCTGTATGTAATATCTGGTCATTGAGACTGTGTATAACTATTTTTGCTAAAATGCATAAGTATCCACTGCACTGGATTTTATTACAATCTGATTTTTAGTTAGATATAGTCCTAAACGTCACTGCGAATAGTGATATGTAATTTTTGGTCCGCGTCTGTAAACGGCAATTCCCTTATTTGTACGGTTAATTTTGTGCTTACTGACGATAACTTTTCTTTTAGAAGAAAACAGCTATCGGGTGCGACCATCATTACGAACAATAACTTCTCAGCACTGTGTACTCTCAGCTACCAGTTATCATTTTGCAGGCTGCCCTTCATCTAGCCCTCCACTTTGTGTTGTTCCCAGATACCACAAGTCCAAAACCATCCCGACACACAACAACATGAAAACATAACCACAATTAATTCGTCCAATTAAATCTTGCTCTGTTTCTACTGGAGTTTCGTAAACCAAAGAGTCAAAACACAAGCGCCGAATATGGGTCCCGATACCCAAATGTTTTCTACTGTGACACTGAATAACCCCTAAAAGTTTGTTCCCATAGTTCTGAAACACCCTGTATATTCGAGTTCTTGGAAGGATATGTGAAAATTAATATTTTTCGGAGCCTGATCCTTTAGCTTTGCAATATAGAAATCGGAGCTAAGCTTTGAATACTGTGACTTAATTTTAACGAAATGATTGATAACTGCTTATCATTTTATCTTACTTGGCATTAATAGGTTACTCTCGCCCATTTTTCAATCGTTATGCTGTGTTAACTTCTTGCTAGGAAGTTTGTTAGTTACTATAAGTTCCAAACGCATGTGAGACGTAGCGAGAAAAGAACAAAGAAGATTTCTGTTCTTTATTTTCTGGTGGTCAAACAAGTTGTTGTAGACTAGTAGACTAATTTATTGGATTGGCATTTGGAAACAGTATTATGTAAATTGCCGAAATCAAAGATGTTCATATTCGATACGAGTTTGCAAAATTCGACTGTAAAATGAATAAATTTGCACGGTAAATTGATGAGTATAAGCAAAATGCTGAAATTTTAGAAACCTGGTTTGTGCTAATAATTATTAATACAGGGTGTCCCAGAAGTCGACGTCAAGCCGAAACCGGGTGATAGGCAAAGTCATAACAGCTGTCAGAAAAATATTTAAAAAAATTTTATGTATGCGTTTTGAAAATTATAGGTCTTTGAAAAAGATATAGAAATTTCACACCCTACGGCAGTCTGTCAACTCCTGTTACTACAAATATTACCTTTTTTTGGATTTTTACAATGTAATGATGAATAATGCATCTTCAAACTGGTGTCTCAACCTTACTGCCAACTTTTCTCGTTCAGGAAAAATTGCCACTTATTTCCCAACCAAGTATTCCAAAGTAAAACTTTGCTCAACTTTAACTGGCTGTACTGGAAAAAAATGTACTACGAGAGTTTGGCAAGTAACCTTAAAAGTTGGCGCATTTAATAACGATTCCAAAATGGTATAGCACTTAGAAGATTACTCGTTAACTTATGCACAATTTTTATTTGAAAAAAAAACTGATGAATATTTTTCAAAATTTCCTAATTAAACAGCGATTATGAAAACGCACAAGGACCCTTAATTATAACTGTTTGCACAACAGTGGGCGTCAAAATGCTGCTGCTGATGATTTACCTTTACAGCAAATGCTCAAACTGTTTTCCTTCAGCCGCAATACACGCTCGACATCTTCTTAAAAAAGATTCTGTTATTAAACGAGCGAATCCACGGTTATTAACAAACTCAGCTGCTTCCAATAGTCTTTGCCGTAGCTCAGCTACATTTTGAATCGGCTTGAAATACACTTTTTCTTTTACAGTTCCCCAGTAAAAAAATCTAAAGGATTCAAATCAAGTGATCGGGCTGGCCACGATATTATACCAGACCGCCTTATCCATCTGCCTGGAAAGTTTTGATCGAGATACTCTCTCACTGAGAGTGCATAGTGCAGTGGGCAGCCATCACGATGAAACCACATGTCCCTGTAAATACTCAGTGGCACGTCCACCAATAAATTTTGTACATGATTTTTCAAAAAATCCAAATAAACTTCAGCAGTCAAAGTCTCTGGGAATCCAAACGGACCGATTATTTTACCATTTAAAATTCCTGTCCAATGGTTTATCTTGAAGCGATAAAAACCTGCATAACTTACACGAGTGGCACGTAGCAAACCCACATTTGATGAGAGAAGATAAATCTCAATATCATATCGCTTCAAGATAAACCATTGGACAGGAATTTTAAATGGTAAAATAATCGGTCCGTTTGGATTCCCAGAGACTTTGACTGCTGAAGTTTGTTTGGATTTTTTGAAAAATCATGTACAAAATTTATTGGTGGATGTGCCACTGAGTATTTACAGGGACATGTGGTTTCAGCGTGATGGCTGCCCACTGCACTATGCACTCTCAGTGAGAGAGTATCTCGATCAAAACATTCCAGGCAGATGGATAATGCGGTCTGGTACAATACCGTGGCCAGCCCGGTCACCAGATTTGAATCCGTTAGATTTTTTTTACTGAGGAACTGTAAAAGAAAAAGTGTATTTCAAGCCTATTCAAAATGTAGCTGAGCTACGGCAAAGACTATTGGAAGCAGCTGTGTTTGTTAATAACCGTGGACTCGCTCGTTTAATCACCCGATCTTTTTTAAGAAGATGTCGAGCGTGTATTGCGGCTGAAGGAATATAGTTTGAGCATTTGCTGTAAAGGTAAATCATCATCAGCAGCATTTTGACGCCCACTGTTGTGCAAACAGTTATCCTTAAGAGTCCTTGTGCGCTTTCATAATCGCTGTTTAGTTAGGAAATTTTGAAAAATTTTCATTAGTTTTTCTTTAAATAAAAATTGTGCATAAGTTAACGAGTAATCTTCTAAGTGTTATACCATTTTGGAATCGTTATTAAATGCGCCAACTTTTAAGGTTACTTGCCAAACTCTCGTAGTACATTTTTTCCAGTACAGCCAGTTAAACTTGAGCAAAGTTTTACTTTGGAATACTTGATTGGGAAATAAGTGGCAATTTTTCCTGAACGAGAAAAGTTGGCAGTAATGTTGAGACACCAGTTTGAAGATGCATTATTCATCATTACATAGTAAAAATAAAATCCAAAAAAAGTTAATATTTGTAGTAACAGGAGTTGACAGACTGCCGTATGGTGTGAAATTTCTATATTTTTTTCAAAGACCTATAATTTTCAAAACACATACATAAAATTTTTTTAAATATTTTTCTGATAGCTGTTATGACTTTGCCTATCACCCGGTTTCGGCTTGACGTCGACTTCTGGGACACCCTGTATATATACATATATTAATATCATAGAACAAAACTTTCTAGGTAAAACTACCAAATGATATGAAAAGAAATTCACATATTCCAACCTTTAACATTTTCATCAGTCCTTCCAGCTGCATCATCAGCTGCCTCCTAGAATCTTGTAGGGTGGTCAAATGTGTTTCTAGCTCGTCCTTTCTCATCCTTAGCGCCCGAAGTTCGTTCATCAATACTGGATTGTCAGTCCCGTGTCCGGCGTTCTCCAATTCTTGTTGTCTCCTGAAACAAACTCGCATGTAAACTTTGTCAAGAGAAAAAGTGTTCGACAATACCTTAATCGGGCGATTTCCCTCATTATTTCTCTATTTTTCGCCTCAAGTTGGCCAATCAGTTCTCTTTGCGCTTTTGTCGAGTCCATGCCGAGGCAAGCCTCTGACGGAACCCTTCCCTAAAAACAGAAAAGAAAAATCATTACAAATGGCAACGTTTTCAATTGCTTTCATTTCAGATTACTTTATTAATATAAACAGCATCCTAAAACAATATGTAAACATTATTCTGCCAAGTCGTAACTTTCCGGGAGGATGGACGAAAAATTTCGTCAAGTAGGTTCACTCTTTTTTCTATCTATGATTTTTTACAGAAAAAAAAAATAAATAAAATCATTACAAAGGGCAACGTTTTCAATATTATTTTATTGATGTAAATAGCAACCTAAAACAATATGCAAACATTATTTTGCGAAGTCGTAACTTTTCCGAGATGATAGATGCAAAATTTCGTCAAGTAGGTTCACTCTTTTCTCTATCTGTAATTTTTTTACAGAAAAAAAACAAATCATTACGAAGGGCAACGTTTTCAATTGTTTTCATTTCAGATTATATCATTAATGTAAACAGCACAATATGCAAACATTATTTTGCTAAGTCGTA